CAAGACCGAAAAATCATTTCGGCGCGCGTTTCTGGGGACTACATACGTAGTATATAAATTCACATAAGAATCATACAAGCATTAAGATCTAGCTAGACCGTGTAAGGCTTTGATTCTAAGAGTTTGTGTTAACGAAAAGTTACTTTCTCAAGTAATGGTAACTGTAATGAGTTACTTTTAAAAATCGATAACTAGTAACGGTAACTTGTTACTTTTTCTACTTAGTAATGAGTAACTATAACTTGTTATTTTCCATTCTCTGCTTATAATTAGGGCCCGAATATTCGGGCGCGACCTGAGAATGCGCCTGAACATCTGGGCCCTACTTATATATAATATACTGGGTGTCCTACAATTCGTAACTGAAATTTTAATAACATATATTTTTGACTTAAAGATAGGACAAAAATCCTAATACCAAAATGTCGAGACTATAATAGTTTTTAAATTAATTCGTTATACATATTTAAAATAATTCGTTATACATATTTATTATTTTTAATATCCTGTAATATTTTTATGTTACGTATGTTGCATATGTAATTATTTTCTATGTTTAAACATGATTAGTGAAGTATTTCAACATTATTGTATACGTTCTTACTTCAATCTCACATGGGATGAACATAGGCGTACAAACATCCGCTTGTGTGATGTACTGCCCTGAGCATGCGAAATGTCAGCTCAGTGATGGTATATCGGACAAACGGTTTTTCCCTCTAGCGGTGTAAAAATTTCCCACTTTAACTTTAAAATTCCCTTTTTTGAACAGCAAATATAAATCTATTCACGTACTTACAAATTAAATTTCTTTTTGTGACGTTTATGCAGCCAGGAGTCAACGGAAAAGGATAGAATCATAGAATGTAGAAACAGAAACTATAGTAATCGAATTGGCTATAGATTTGTCGCATCGCACGATGCGTGGAAGGTGGAAGTACCCAACATGCTTCCACCTTCCACTACGCTCGCCACACCATATTCGAATCAAACAAATATATAAAGCCTATCGCACATGAAATGCATAACACTGAACATCAATCATGGCATGCTTAACTTTTTCGCTAGAGTGAAAACGTGAAAAATGAAAATTTTTATGTATGCGTGTGTATATATATATATACATATATATACACACACATATGTATATATACACACACACATACAAAAAATTTGCACTTTTCATTTTCACCATAGGGAAAAAGTTACATGAAGTCCCAGAGTATAATGGCCACAGCACACTTTTGCATAAAGCATAAGGCGTCGTCTACAATACACGAAGTAAGAAGTAAGAGTAAGAAATTGACCAATCACAGTCGATTATTCACATTCGACTGTGATTGGTCAATTTCTTACTCTTACTTCTTACTTCGTGTATTGTAGACGACGCCTCATGCATAGTGCATAAAGGAATCAACCAAT